ATGTTCTTTTGACAGGTTGTCAATTGCATATATAATCTCTGCTCTAAATGGCAACAATAATCTGTCGAATTGTATTGGAAGTAAATTGTGAGCAATCTCTTGTTCTTGCAAGTGAAAAAACTGGGGGGAGAATGTTTTTGAAATCACGTAGTAGTGGTGCCCAATTTACTGGCTCCATGGGCCAGGTGAGTGGTGTGGGGTCAGTTTGAGGGCCAGATCCTGTATGGGGTCAGTCTGTGGGTGCAGTCCAGTGTGCTCATCTGCCTCCACATGTTGGTCAAACCCTGGGCACCCAGTGCAGCCACACCAGCCTGACCTCACATGGTGGATCTGGTTGCACACAAACCTAACCCCACAAGCCAGCACCATGTTGTTAGGCCCAGAGGATTTCCCATGGGTCGAGAAATTTGGCAATATAGGAATGGCAGTTAACCCTGCCACTGCCCCCTCCTGCCAAATTTCTGAACTGGGGAGCCTTGCAGACCAGATGAGTCATCCAGATCTATGAGTTGGATTTGGCCAGTGGGCTGGAGGTTGAGTACCACTGGCCTCTGGTAATTTTGTAGTAATATTTCACAACTGTTTTATTGTAAGAAGTAATATTAATTTATACATAGTGTGCTAATATTAAAGGGAATAAAAAATTGAGAGAATTGTTTAAGAAAAATTACAGTCTACTAGATTAAAGTAACAATTGTTTAGAGGTTGGTTAATCAGTTTCATTGTCACAGTATAACTCCTGTTATTAAAATAATGCCAAATTTATAATTACTGTGAAGGGAAGATTGCTTGTGTCATGTTAATTATAAGCTGGCATAATATGGGGAAGTGTTCTGTAAAATTTTCAACAATGTTTCAGTTCAAACATACACTGCAATTGTTACTGAACTCTGCAACAGTCTAATATTTGTATTGTTTTAGGAGCTAGTGCGAACTGGTGTTTACTCTTAGTAAGAGGGGAGCTGATGTGAAATGAGCAGACACATTGCTCTGATGCTTTTAGGCAGAAATGCGCTCATTTTAAGAGGTTAATTGCTAGTGAATTTTAATTTTCATGCCATATGTTCTTATTGTGATTTGCCGCCTTTTTTTTCCAGCTCTTTCAGGGTGCTCACAGAAGTTACATTTTTTGTGCGATGGGGCCGCTGAAAAATATGTTTTATATGTTGAAGCCTTCCTTTCTCTCCTTTCCCTCCTTCTGCAGAAAAGTTTTGCATTCTGTCATTTAATTCTTGAACAAAGAAAATAACCTTGAATATGTGCAACTTCTGTTGTTTCTTGGTCATAATATGTCTACAAAAAACTTAATCAGGCACACTTTATTTAGAAATCTTGTTTTTACCAACTACCAATGGCTCTCCCTTCTCTCTTATATTTTCTTATACTGTATTTTTGGAGCTCATATTTTAAGTCAGTTGGGGTTCAAACCTATTAGAAGGCAGATGTCTATGTGAAATGTTTAGATTTTAAGAGGTGTTTATGTAATTTAAATTTCCAGAGAAGTCTTAAGTCAGTGAAATTTAAATCTCAGCACTCTAAGTATTTTCTTTCTTGTGTCCCTCTCTCTTGGTCTTACAAAATGTTCAGTTTAGATATATAATCTTCAAATACCTTTATTCATCCTTTTTTGTTCATCCCTTTCATATAGTATCCAATGTTTTGTGTAATTTCAAAGAGTTTGTGGCTTAAAATACAACCTTTCATTTTTAAACTGTAAACTTTGTGAAACATAGACCTGTAAGGCCTTTCTTTTCTTGCAGGAGTAAGTATTTTTAAATCCTTGACAGCCATTTTTTCAGGTTAGAATTGATGTTGTCTTTTATTTTTTGTCTATTTAATTTCTGCGAACTAAATAAAATTCTCCTAAGAAAATCTGAACTGGCTTTTAAAAGAAGATTCCAGACATCCTTACATTCAAATTGATTTGAGGTCTTAAACTTTAATTTAGTGTGTAAGAACAGTAGCAATATTTCATGACATTAGGCAGTGTACAATATCTGATTATTTTTTGTACTGTTGTCCTATTTCAAAATGTTTCTTGTATTTCCAGGGAGAAAATGCAGTTTGGGAATTAGATGTCTTTAAAATAAATAAACAAACAAATAAATAAATAAGGATATTTCTTAAAGATATAAGCCTTAGATAGATAAAGTTATTGTTTTCTAATGGCTGTTCATTTTCTTATATGAAATAAGTTGGTATTCTTGGTACTAATGCCTGTGACAAAGGTAACTAATATTTACAAATGTTTGTCTATCGAAACGGTATCTTTAGAAATAGAATGGATATCCCTGGTGTGTGTGTGTGTTTATTTTTTTGTCCCCCATGATGGTGAAAGAAACCAAGGGAAGAAATGCACTGGTAAATTTTTAGTACATGCACATTTAGTGAATTTTGTTTAGTATGATGTAACAACCTAAAATAGAATTTTACTTTTAATGTGTTGGGTGTGGGCAGTTATTGAATCAGAAGTTAACAACCCCAGCATTAAAAGTGAAAACCTGGTCACAAGTATTACACATCCAGAAGCTGACACTTCATTAAAATAATAAATTGATAGCATAAAAAATAGACTTCATGAGAAAAAGATGAAGGTGGCCATGCTGGATCACACCAGTGATAGGGTAAATTTCTTCCTAATCTACAATAGAACAAAGTTGTAGTCCATATGTATATTTATTAATTGCAACTTAACCTTCTGTAGTTATTTATGGTTTTTTTTATGTTAATCTGTTTTTCTCTAGGTATTGATGTGGGAATAATTAATGACTGTTCCTGTTTCCTCCTTCATCTGTGTGTTTACACCTGTGATATACCAAAGTATTGCTGAGGGCAGGGAGGAGTCATTTTTTTAAGATGTATTATATTGGCACTAGTCAGTTAATACATTTCAAATAATGAGAAGGCACACTTGTCGTTTTGTAGTTTCAGTTATCATGAAGCATAGTGCTTTTAATAACATATGCAGAATTATTAAAGGTGAAGGCACTATTCTCTGTCTCTAGACTGCTCACTGTCTCTGGAACCAATGAGACAGTTGAGAAACGGAGTGTATATTACCCTGTAACTTTTGAGATGGCCACATCTTCCAATAGAGACAGAAGAGCCTTGTTTAGAATTAATCAAGTGTACCAAAAATAATATTAGTATGTCTGTCACTGAGAGTTGAAATGCATTTCACAAACAATTCTGCGCATAAAGAGGAAAGTCTTATGATTTTATGTTCCGTGATTTTTCTAATTTACTTAGAATATTTGGTTTTAAATAGAATTTCATAGGCTTTACTGTGATTGTGAAATAACTGATAAAACATTTATTATAAAACATTCCTTGTAATTCCTACATTCTTCTATCCAGTAGTCATGTTCAACATTAGCTATATCCTTTTCTTTGTATCAAAGAACAAAGATAGTCTTTTGCTTGATATTTGCTTTCTGATTACATTTGTTATGACACTACTTGTATTGATCTTCTCTGTATACATTCTTGTACCTTTCTAGATCGTTGACGCCTTTTGCTAATGATGCTACAATTCACTATTTGCTAAATATTAATGTAGGAACATTTATTTTGTTGAATATTCATGCTACTTGTCAACATACGATATATTAGACAAATACCTCTGCATAAACTTGATAAGTTTGTGACTACAGTAATTTTATTTATGTACACATGTTGTTTGGACTCCTCACATAGAGTTACTCATTGGCAGGGGTCTTAAGCCAGGGGTAACCAAGATATGACCCATAGGTCTGGATTGTGGGGTTCCCCATGCATCTGGAAATTTGGTAGTAGATGAGTAGTGGCAGTGTCAGCTGCCATGGCTGCTGGAACTGTGGTAATTAATACTGCAGCCACACATTCTGCCCATGAGGCCGGATGAGTTGAGCAACACTGGCCTAACCTAAGAATTTGTCTTCCTACTTCAAAGACATCCTTATGTGGAAGTAAAAGTTTGCAAGACTAAGGTTACATACACACCTTTAGATAATCTGGGAGAATTTTCCTAGGTTTGTTCTCCTAGAAGAGAAATTTAACCAAGAGCTCTGTGTGAGGCCCAGAAGAATGGAGAACTTTTAGTGTTGACATAGTTCAGCTTGCGGGGAGGGTTGGCTGGATTCACACATCTTGGCATATTCTGCAGGTACCTTAGTCTGCCTGGTGACAGATGGTAGAAGTTCAGCAGAGCAACCTGGTTGACTGACCCAGACTGATCAGTCACAATGTGTTTCCCTGCAGCACAATATGGGGATTGTGAAGGTGGTGTGTTTTGCTCCCTGCTGGAGCAGCAGAATCCAGTGAGTCCAGTAATACTGTGTCCTTCAGTGGTGGGCGGGGGTGGGGGGAAGAGATGCTGAAGGATTATGTTCTGTTGTGAAAGAAGCAATGGCATATACAGACATTTGCTCTCCCAGACGCAATTCAGCTGGGAACAACTTAACCCTAATTGTTCCCAGGTTATTTTTCTCTCAGAATGGCCATTTATACTCTGGGAGAAAAAGCCTGAACATCCGTACACTTATGGTTTCTCCTGAGAAGAGTCACTGCTCTCCCATGAAGAAGTGAATATCTGTACAAGGCCTAAATGAAGGTTAGCTTTATGAGTAAGCAGATAAAAAAAAAAAATAGATTGCTGCAAAATATTAATAACAATTGACATTGCCCTGAAACACACTGTTTAAGATCTTGGTATGTCTCTGTAGCTGAGGTTTGATCTACTTTAACAGACTTCTACCAATGAAACTAGATTATTAAAGAGTTTGTATGACTGGATGGATATTTAGGATTAATTAGGCTTTTTGAATATGTTTACCCTTCCCAAATGTATGATTTTGGAGATATTTTAAATGTTATTGAATTCTCTATTAGGGAAAGTACATTCATACCTTTTAACGTAGTATTTTAGTTTGAAATAAAAAGTTTTTAATTAATAATAGGCATTATGTGTTTCTTAAGGTTTTTTGGGTTTTTTTTAATGTTTTTCTCCCCTTCATTTCCAGGTCTAGCTGTTTCACTTCAATTGCTTCATGGAGATATTGAACAAATAAGGAGGGAGTACACATCTATGTTTACCCATGGAGTATCAATAACAAGGAAGCTGGGTTTTTCCAATATTATTATGCCTGGTAAGTTAATAAAAATAAAGGGTGTCAGGTAAGAAAAATGGGATATTACTCAGTTTTAAATTTCTTTCCAGAGAAATTCTATACTTCAGCCATTTCAGACTTCAAGCCACTGAGTCTTTTAAATAGTTCTTTTTTAAACTTACTGAATTTACTTGAATATAATACAAGACTTTTTCCTCAGTCAGCATGGGAGGAAAGCTCCTTGTCTTATATTTTCATACAAGAAAACTTAATTAAATACATTGCCTATCATTAAGCTGCTGCCAAAAGCAGCATGTGCTCAGTAATAGAAACCAACTATGAAGCTGATGAAATGCAGCCAACACAAAGCATGACTATAAAAAAAATGGCCTGTATTAGCCAAACTTGCTGATGGGAACCTGCCACAAGGGCAGGTTACTGCAGCTCACGTAAATAAGTTATATGGTAGTGCCTGTTGTGCTTAGTCTTCCTATACAAACTATGCATAGTTTGTATTATATGTAAATGGAACAAGAGTGCTGCTTAAAGCATGTTTATGGAGTACCTGTGCTAAAACTTGAAGCAGTTTCAAAAAAGGTAAAATGCTTTAATTCTGAATCAACTAAGTCTATGGATACCCATGGTACTAAGTCATTGTTTTCAGATTTGCCCCTCACTTTCATGTACAACATCTGAACATACCCACTGTAGGGTAAAGGGCTAAAATGAATCAAAACTGGGTTAACTAAATTACTACAGGCATGTTTGATTTAAAGTCAGTGTTTTCCAAGTTGCCTCTTACTTCCACGTGATCAGAGAGAGCACAGCCTGACAGTAAGGGGGAGAAAGGGCTGCAGGAGGAAGTTGGGGAGGCAGAGGGCAAGGGGCCTACCTGACCCCCCATATTTATTTTCCCTTATGTAACAATGGGAGGGGGACACATTCAAGGCAAACCTCCAAAAATTAGATTCTATACTTGTAAAGTTATAACAAATTCATAACTTTTCCGTATATGGAATCTAATTATTGGGGGACCATCTTATATTCAGGTGAATACAGTAAGAAAATAAGAGACAAAGTATTGGGATTGCTGCTTTATTATATGATGGACTGTGAGGAGTAATTCTAAGTTAATATAGGATAGGTACTATCCCAGTTGGTATGATCCCAGGGTAGTCCTGGGCCCATGCTGATCATCAGCTTATTATCAGCATTAGGACCCAGGGTATCACCAGGTCTGGAAAACATACCATATATTTAATTTAAGGTATAAAGCAAACCAGTCACAATGATGTTTTACCTTATATATGGAACATCTTTGTCACTGGTTTACCATTTTATGGTGCCATAAATTGGCTGAACAAGTGACATATTTTCATAATAGTTGCCCTTAGGTGCCACTCTGTCCTGTCCTGCCTTTTGCCTGGCTTCAGACTAACATGGTTAACCACCCCTCACTACTAAATGGGCATTTCTCTTTTTAGCATTTGGTACCTCTGGATTGGGATTGAGTGAGTTTGGCGTGCTTTCATGACAGTAATATCTTAGAGACAGTTGGACACAGAATGGATGTGCCCTCAGAGATGTGCCCTACAGAACTTTGAGATTAATAAAGCATTATTATGATTATTTTGCAAATAATGATGGGGAATTAGGTTGTAATGTTTAGTAAAACATACTAAATGATTCAAACATTATAATTTAACTATGAATCTTACATGTATTTAATAGATGAGTGAGATTTAAATAATATAGACTGTTGCATAATTTGATTAGTTTGGTGGATGTCAGTGCAGTATGTAATGTAAATCAATTCAATACATTTTAAAAATATTATATACATGATGATTATGGATGCAGATATAATGAACACAAAATAATTCCCAGTGAAGAAAGTCTCTTTGTCTTATTCTTAGCAGTCCACGATTTAATGAACCGCTGCTGTGCAGTGCCATATTTCCTATGATTGTCATAAATAACTCTTTCCTCCTATTTCCTTATCTTTCTATTGTGAGAGACAGCGATGTTTAAAATTATTATAAAAACTTGTCATAATAGTGCAGTATCTGCCCCCTCAGTTTCAGAGCTAAGTATTACGCAGGTTCAATTGAAAACTTAAAAAATAGAGAGAGATTTCACTGTGCTGTTTCATCATCTCAAAAATTGTCTATATTCTTCTGTTTTGGAATCACACAGCTTTTGTCTATCTTTACTGGTGCAAATGAGATTTGTATTGAGCTGAAATAATCACCATACCCTTGAAATTTATATATTCCACATTGCTATTCAGAAGAGTATACTATATATAGTGAGTCGCTTGCAATAGATCAGCCACTGAAATCACTGTGGGCTTTTAAAACTCTTTCATCTCATTTTCTTTCAGCTTCTTTTCTTTAGCAATATTTCTAAAGCGGTAATCAATTGAAATAAATTAAGAAATTAATATGGCTATTTGATAGGGGAAACATTAGTTTTATTATTTCCTTTCTTTTTGTCGCAGTTTAGTATTTTGTTCAGGTCAATTAACTCTCAAGTGAGTGCTCATAATCAAACCATCACTGAATTATTTAATAATAGACTTGGCATGCAATGTAGCTTAGATTCTCTGCAGTTTAAATGGGAGTATCTGCATGCAAAATGCCAGATTAGAAAACACTTTTCCTTTCTGATGCACTTTGTACTGTAATTGCCCTTCATTTACCAGCTAAAACTGACCCTTTTCTCTTTGAGGATTTTAGCTCTATCATTAAAAGTAATGAGGATCAGCATACATGCTGTATCAGAGATTAAACAATGGTATAATGCATGTGTGGCAGTGCACTGTGTGTGCCTGCCACTTTAAGGGCCTGGAGCTGGCAGCCTCCAGGTGCCTGACGAGGGCAGCCATTTTGAGACATGGGCTGCCTATATAAACAGGGCAGTTCGGCTGCAGAAGGCGAGGCAGCAACATCGCCTGGCTGGACGGCTGCTGAGATCACCCGGAGGTGGGGGAAAGCTGCAAGGGGATGGTTAGGAGGCTCGTGGTCCTGGGCATGACCTGAAACTGCATCCTGCCGGGAGTGGGTGGTCTGGTGGGGCTCTCAGTGGCGCGGGAACCCCAGGAAATGCCAAGCCAGTTATCACCCCGGTGAAAGGTGGGTCGGGGCGCCTTAACCCCTAGCTCCCACCACCACCGGGTGGGTTACCCTAGTGTTTGTTGGAGGGCCTAGAGGGCCAGTGTTGTGAGGGGCCCAGAGAGGGTGGACCCCGAGAGTGGGAGTGATGTGGGCGTGGTGCTGCGGTTGCCCCCAAGAGGATGGGGAGTAGTGGCACGGTGAGGCCCAGTGACAGAGTGAGCGGCTAGAGAGACCCAGCCCGAAGGGGAGAGTACCCTCGACTGGCCCAAGCTGGGGCCAGGACTACGGTAGTCAGAAGGGCCGGGGGCCCACCGCGAGGGACGCCCAAGAGCCGGGGGCCTGGGGTTTCGACTGGCCTGGAGGTGGGCCAGGGCAAGAGGCCGAAGGTTCCGGGGGGACCACACCTGAGAGGGGAACATGGCTTCGGGGGAGCTAGGTAGCCCGGATGACGGCGGAGTGGCCGCCTGAGAGGAGAGGATCATAGAGGGGTCCTGTACGGATGATTCTGGGGCCCAGTGTGGGGCCGGTGATCATTTTAATTGAACTTGTTATCATCAAAGGCGTGGCGGGCGAGATAGGCTGGCGGTTGCCCAGAGACAGGTGGGCGGGCCGTGGAGATCGGCCCCGTGCTGGCCCCGTCGCAGCATGTTTTTGTACAGCAATGGCTTTTGTGCCGCTGGAGTCTGACAGGGTGAAGCCATAGAATGCTCTTTCCAGGGCACATGAACTATTAATTTAAAACCTCAACTGTTTTAGGAAATAGGAAAGAAGATTCAGATGGATTGAAAAGCCACTCATTTCTCAGCTTTAGTCAAATCTCACATGTATCTCCCTTGATGGCTAGGAAAAAGAAATGCTATGGAACAGGTTCTTCCATGTATTTTCTATATAATCAAGCTACAGGGGCAAATTCTGTACTACCCTATGTTTCTGGACCTTGCTTTAATAATTTGATGCACAGGCAAAAATTCCATCTTTCCAAAAATGTTCAGAAAGCATTATACAGAGTTAGGCACAAGGCACATATGTTTAGACCCTCAGCTGAGATCTGATGAGCAGTTCCTATTCACCTTCAAGGAAATATGACCACACAATTACTTATGACCAAATCCAGCTGTGTCACACAGGCAGATTATTAGTTCTGAAGGATATACAGTATAGTCCAGCTCCATCAGCCACCAAACCCATTCAGTGCTTGAGTTCAAGTAGTGCTTCCATTTTGAACTTCAAAGTACCCTAGGCATCTATACTTAAGCTTCTGCACATGCTTGAAAGTGATCTGAATTGCTCATCTAATAGACAGCTAACTCTAACCTCAGCTCTGTTGGGATCCAGATAGGGGCTTTTACAGCATCAAAGGCCACAGACAGACAATTTTAGCCTGATCTGGCCCCAGAAAGCTGTCTACAGCCATGACCAAACAGAAATGCATACCTGCAGACCTCTTTCAAAGGGCCCGATCCCATGAAAATCTGAACCCCCATTGTATGAGGGTTCAGGTGGCCATGCTCCAAACTAGAGCACGCTTTGTAACTTATGTCTGCAGAGCTCCCAGCCTGTCACTGTTTTCAGAATGGGAGGGGGTAAAAGGAGCAGAAGGAGTTTGGTCTGGGCTTTTTTTAACTGGTGCTGGAAGGTGGGGTGGGTGGATTGGAGCCCCACCACTCCATCTTCCAGCGTTGGCTGAGGAAACCCAAGAATGAGCTCCCTCTGCTCCCTTTCTCTCTCCCATTCTGAAAACAGCATCCAGGCTGGGAGTGGTGTTGCTACAGAGACTGGGCTGCAGGTTCTCAGCTATCCCCAACTCCGAGACCCAACAGCGAACTTCTGTTGGGTCCGGGTGCTTGTTGCAACTCATAGCGCTTCCTGCAAAGCACTATGAGTTGCACTGGGGAGCTGCCTTTCTGTCTGTGCCCTAAATTC